GCTAATGTTGGACTTGTGGGCTTGAGCAGCACTGCGTTGGGATGTTTTCTTGATGTGCACTTAACCTTTATATAAAACATGAGTTTCTGTGGATTTGTTTCTCTAAAGTACCCAGACTAACACATCCCCCAAAGCTAGAACAGTGCCTGGAAGAAGTATGTTTTCAGCACATATTTATTATTAATATAAATATGAAAATGAATTAGTATTTTATCATGTTTTTATATATACCTAATAACGTAAACCTAGGTACTCTAACTTATTCAAGACATTAACCTATATTTAATAATATGTCAGCATTAGAAGAAAATTTAAGGCCTGACCCTATGGGCCTCTCAAAGTGTCCCATGCCAGAGTGAACTGTAACCCTGAACCATGGCCTGGCTTTGTCCCATGGGTGTCGGGCACTGAAGCAGGTTTCACAGTGAAAAAAAGAAGAAGAAGAAGAAGAAGAAGAAGAAGAAGAAGAAGAAGAAGAAGAAGAAGAAGAAGAAGAAGAAGATTTAGTACATGCATTCTATTGGACATACATTCAATTTAGGACATATATTCTATTGGGTCACTTTTCTTTGGAAAGGGTACAAATGTGCACCTTTTATAGTTAGTTGGCCAAGAAGCTGTCTTCCAGATTTCCAAATTGGTCCATAGAGAAGTGAATGCTTCTAGTGCTTCATCAGTTTATTAAAACATTTCAATTAGTATTTTATCAATTCCTGGAGACTTGTTTTTAGCTAGAGGTTTCCGTGTTCTTGCTCATATGCTACTTCCTAATATGGTAGAATATTGATTAGTTCTTTTTGGTACAGGGACTCGGTCCTTGTATTCTTTCCATCTTATTTTGATGCTTCTTGCATCCTTTAATATTTTGCCCATAGAATTTTTCAACTTTGCAACCCCCAACTGGATCAATGGGTAACATAATGATAAATGGAGAAAAGGTTGAGATTGTGAAGGATTTTGCCTTGCTTGGATCCACAATCAATGCTCATTGAAGCAACAGTCAAGGGATCACAAGAGGAGTTGCATTAGGTCAATCTGCTGCATAAGACCTCTTTAGAGTATGGAAGAGCACGGATGTTACTTTGAGGAGTAAGGTCGGTGTGGCACGGTATTTTCAATTGCCTTTTATGCATGCAAACATTGGACATTGACTAAACACGACCAAAGAAGAATTAAGGCATCTGCACTTTGAGGCCTGAGACAAATATTGAAAGCACTTTAACTGCTAAGTGGACAAACCAATCTGTCTTGAAGAAGTGAGGGCAGAGCACCTCGGAGGCAAGGATGGCAAAGTTTTATCTCACATACTTTGGACACGTTGTCAGAAGAGTCCAGTCACTGGAGCAGGCCCTAATCCTTGGTAAAGTCGAAGGGTAATGAAAGAGGGGAAGGCCCTCCAGGAGGTGGCTTGACACCGGGGCTACAATAATGAGCTCAAGCATCGGAACCTTTGAGAGGAGGGCACAGGACGGGGCAGTATTTCATTCTGTTGTGCATTTGATGTCTATGTATTGGAACTGGCTTGAAGGTACCTAACAACAACAACAATAACACAACATACATAAAAATGAGGTCAACGAGGTAACTAACTATTATGATAAAAATATAAATGTTGACATTACTCACCCTCACATACAACATTGATTCATTGAAGCAGCCTTTTTGGTTATGAAAATGATATATTGGGTGTCCCTAAGTTTTAATTCCACTTCATTCTATGTTATCAATCACTTTAGTTTTTGAGAATTTTAAATGGCAAAAAAAGTACATTTCAATGATTTCACGCTGTGCTTCAATGGTAGTGAATGGTTGGGCTATATATTTAGATGTTCATTAGCCATTTGTATGAATTTCAGCTAAGTACTTGCTAATGTTTTAAAATATTTTTCTAAATGTTATCTTTATTATTTGTTAGATATTTTAATAATATCTAGAGTCAAATTCTTTGATAAGGTGGGAATATTTTAAATTTTCGTATACTTAAGCTTAATTACCAGCTCATTATCTAGATTATTTTGAGCAAACTATTAACTGTAAGATTATTAGAAGTAAAATGTACACATTTAAAAAATGTTGCCTTCATTTATTCCTTCTCTAATGTTCTGAATTTCTTTCTGCATATCCAAATATCTGATTTATATAATTTTCCGCCTCTTTGAAGAACTTAAAAAGTTAAATGTTTTAAAATATTTCTGAATGCAGGTCTACTGCCAAGAGAAATCTTTCTCTTTTTTTTTCTTTCATCTAGGAAAGCCTTGATTTAACTTTCACTTTATGCAGATAATTCCTCTGGACACAGGATTCTGGATTGGTGTTTGTTTTTTTATTTTATTCCCATTATCTGAAATATTACACTCTATTATCCCTTTCTTTGCATGATTTCTGAAGACGTGTCAGTTGTTAGTCTTATCCTGTTCTTCTAGAAAACCAAAAACCCATGACTGTGAAGTTGATTCCAGCTCAGAGTAACTGGATAGAGCACAGCAGAACCGCCTGCTAAGTTTTCCAAGATGGTAATCTTTACGGAACTCAACCGCTATAGCTTTCTCTCATGGAGCAAGCAGCTGGTGGGTTTGAACTACCTATCTTTTGATTAGCACCTGAATACTAAATAATTATGCCACCAAGACACAATTCCTCTATAATCAAGGTAACTTTCTCCCTCTAGTTATTTTATTATTTTCTTTGATTTTGTAAAGTTTGAATATGATATGCCTAAATTTAGATTTTTATCATTTATCATGCTTGGTGTTCTCTGAATTTTATAGATCTATCATTGGGTCTGTGATTAATCCTGGAAAATCCCTAGGCATTAATA